TAGCCATTTTTGTGTCTGAAGAACTTTCAAATGTGCTGGCTTTATGTAGACACGAAGCTTGGCAACAAAAATTGTGTCTTTTAATAAAAAGAACAACCTTCATCACTGGTACCAAAATGATCTAATACTCAAAATTTCTTATGTATTTTTATGGAACCAATCAATTTTAAGTTTTTAATGGCTTTTTTAGGATTTATTTAGTATTTTGGCTGTGACTGTACTAAAAGAAATTGCATTTGAAGACCTAAGAGTGATTCTTAATGCAATATTTCGCAAATGCATGGGGTGTCCAAAAACTTTTTTCCACCACTGTATATATATATATATATATATATATAAGCTTAATTCTACTTGGGTGCTGTGTCTCAAAAATATGTAGGCCTACTTGTGTATGTTAAAGGGCTGTACTTACAGGTACATGCATTTAAATGTATTTAAATGTGTGTATGGTGCACATGTATTTAGGTAATTTCATTTTTATTTTATTTATTTATTTTTGCATCGGCAGTGGGTGGGGATTGGGTGGGTGGGATCAAAATCAAAAAATGGAGGAATACTGAAACAAATCTATGTATGTATTTATTTGTACATTTATTCCTGCCAATAAAAAAAAGTTTAAAAAAAAAAAGAGAGAGAGAGAGAGAGAGAGAAACAGCATTTGCAGTTTTATGTTCAGACACTTGAGGGACACAAAAAATTGTAAGCATTAAACTGTGTTAAAATAAAATTCAATGCATTGAACTTACCTGAGTTTTTATTTGCATGCCATTATGGTACTTGGCTACAATCGCCTATTAAGAATAATTAAATATGATGTGAAATATGATATACTGATATATTTACTCAGATGTTGCATATTCTCTGAGAAAAAAAAAAACCAAAACGCTGAGAAGTCTGGAAATTAGGGTATGGGAAAATATGGAATTTTGAAATTCCAAATGTGTAGGAACCCTGGTAAATGCTGATAGTCTGATTTTACTGTGGCCACTACCCTGTGCAACCCACATTATTTTCATAATGATATATTTAGGAAAACATGCAGTCTGTTGCCTCTTTAAGTCATTCCACAGAAAATATTATCAAAATCAAACTTAAATCAGAGAACACAAAGAAACAAAAAGAGAGAGAGAGTGAGAGGGTTCTATGGACTGCTTTTCAAGATGTGGACACTGCATATTTTGGATGCATGGATCACAGACCAGGTAAAGCAGTTCCCATTCTCCTTCTTGTTTAATTGTTTTATTGACTCTCTTGACTTTCATGGTAGCTTGAATTCAAGAAAAGCACATGGCAATTATGCTGCATTACCTAGCTAGCTTGGTAAACCTGTATGCTGGCTAGCTTTGCACTCAAAGCTAGCTAGCTGCTACAGCTGCTACAGTGTTGAATTGCCAGTTTTATAACTGAGGGAACCTCAGTATTTAACCTACCACCCTCCCACCTTACCCTTCACCTGATTTTTTTTTTCAGCACCACCTAGAAAGAGAGAGGCACTATCTGAGGATCTGAAAATCACAAATAAAGTAGTTTGTAGCCCTTTCTGAAACACAAGGTTTGTACTCAACTTTTTTTTTATTAATGCCTAATCATTTAAAACAAATCAGAAGGGTGCAATTAAAAATATGTCATTACTTTGTGGACCCCCACATGTTTGTCTAAAGCTATCCTGTAATCATATCACATGCTTAACTTATTTTTTTCACCAGAATGTAGGAAAATAAGTGCTATTTCCTGGGGGTGGACTGCTAACCCCCCAGTGACCATACCACCCTTTATTTTTTGACCAAAACATGATTTTGTTATTAAATTTTCTGCTCCAGGGCCTGCAGCCTTAAATATGGAGCCTGTGTTCTCAACCAAGCAGCTGAAGAGAAAGCAGCCTGATACCAACTACACTGCTTGCCTAAAATGTGTAGAGGAACACCCCCTTTTTGAACTTCCCCTGGACCAGTATTATCAATGAACAGACCAACGAGAGACCACCGGAGGGTCAGTTGTTTAGGACTCTGCCCCCAGTATCACCCTCCAGTCTTGACAAACGCTCCTTTCAACCATCCTTATGCCAAGAAGAGGTAAAAAGGTCACTTGAGACTCCTCTTCGTCCCGGGTGTCATTAACGTCTTAGAAGAATTCGGCTTGGGGCAACACAATTTTGTAAGACAATGCTTCTTAAGTCTACTACATCCTGTCCCTTCTTGTCACCCAGGGAAATCACATCTTCCCCTCTCTTACCAAGTGTTTCTGTTGTAACAGACTTGAAATGTCTTGTGGAAGTAAAATTATACATTTTATCCATGTTTTAACATTGTAAATGTGCATAATCTGTATTTGTTAGCTGAATGATATTTTTCTTAATCTTGAAGGTCAAAATATCAGTAAATTGTGAGTTTCCTGTTTTTAATCCCTCATTTAACAGTCTCGCGTGAGGGGACATTCGTCTTTCGTTTTGTAATAGAAATGGGCGGGGATATCCAGACCATGTGACAGCGTTGCCATAGGTGAAGCACATCAAATGAGATCATTTTAATCTCTTCTTGCGATGCACTGAACACTTCCTTTTCTGTTGTACTACGGACAACAATTCAGGGAACAGCAATTCTGGTGTAGGCAGGTGTAAGGCAAAGCTAATCAGCCGTTGGTCGAGGAAGTACGGAAGTACACAGATTTGGATCCAATCACATCACAGCCGCTGGGAGCCAACGCTAGTTCTATTACAACTTTCCTATGGGAATGTCCACAGACAACAGAGTCAGTCAGCGTGCTGACATCATCGGTGTCTGTGAGACTACATTTAACATGGAGCCATACTGCCATCTTGTGACGACAATTAAGGAGGGTTCCCTTAAGGAATCCTATATTATATTTACAGTTAAAATATAGTTGGATTGATTAATCAACTTCTTTTCATGAATATGTGCCTTCTCATTTTGTTTTATTGCAACTGTAGGTTAGTCTAGAGTGTGTGTATACCAAACAGTTATACTTGTGTTCCGCTGATATATGCGGTATAATAATTATATTAAATTAAATTTGATGTTACGAGCTGATTTCAACCATAATGGGAAGAGTATGTGTCTATCGCGCTTAACATGCTAAAGTATATTATTTCACAAATTAAAGTTTCATTAAAAGTTCATTAAATTTCCTCTGAAATAAAGTAATGTCTAGACTAAGAGGCCTGCCCCACTTCGGACACTCCCCGTCAAGGGTGGGATAAAACAAGTGAGCTCGGCGCATCTCTTTACTGTTTTGACTCTTATACTCTTTTCTGTCACTTCTCTCACTCTCTTTCTTTTTTACTTACTTTCTTCTTTATTTTTTTCTTTTTGAACCCGCTACGCTCTTAAACTTGGTTCCCGCGTAACTCTTTCTTGCTCACTATTGAAGTTATTTTAAACTTTTAAGTTTTACTTATCCAGGTTTTATTTGTTTCCAGTGCCTTCAGTAACATTATGCCTGAAGTGACAAAGCTAGCTGATTGCAACATTTTTTCTACGCGTTGATAATAACTTTGATAATAATATCGAAAGGCCGACGAGATTGTTTTCAACTTTATCATAAGCGAGTAGCCACAGCTGAGTAGATAAACTTTTCGACCTACAACTCCCCCAAAGATTCATCAGATCCAGAGACTGCCAACCACTTGTCAAAGGGACACTTTTGCCAAACAAACCTGCAGCCTAATATCACCGACGTGTGAGGACCACCTAGAGGACCCCGCCACCAGGCTCCACCGTCCCTCACCGTGAAGGCCGTGAAGTGAAGCTGGGAGTCGCAAAGCAATAGTCTGGTGCCCTCAAGAGAAACGTCTGCATGATTCGCTGCTAAGAAAGGAGGCAAAGAATTTCCCTCACGGGTGAAGCCGCTGGGCAGTGGTAAGAGTTGATGTTAAATAGGACATTTAATTATCTTAATCTGAGTTTAGGTTTCCTTAGGTAAATGGTTTTGCGCATCCCTGCGTTCCCAATTTATCTATAGTCACATACTCTCTCACTATCGCCACACTACATAACTTACAAGAGTGTTACTTCTTGTTTTAATCCATTGGTACATACTGTTGATGTTGTGTTATTTCATATCATCCTCATTCATTTACTCATTTTTTATACATTTAGCGTAAATAAATCTTCATTTATCGCCAAGTCGTTGTCTGTGTATATCTCTTTTGAGCCGGAACTAAGATCACTGTGTGGAGAATTCATAACCCAGATATTGAGATTGATTCATCATTGATAAGCGTGTTGACGAATTAATAATTGGTTATGGAGTTATTAATTTGATAGTCGCTTCCCTCATTAGGAGGGTGGTGCCCCAAACTTTATTACGAGTGCAAATATTCTAGGTATTTCTCCTACATATGTTAGAAGACAGACAGTAATGCTGGTCCTTAATCAGAAACTTACAGATCAAGGATGGTCTGCACTCCTATATGCAGTAACCAACAGAAAGGATGATGTCTCATTCAGACTTGAAATGAGCTTGAACCTCGATGTACCTCCTTGGAAAGGAAGCCTGTGTGGCACACAAAATGTCGTGCCAAGTTCACAGATCGCAAAATTGTTGAGCAAAGAATAAATAAATTTGCTAACCAAGAAGGCACTTCATCTGAAGCAGGACCCTTCACTGAGCCAAATAGCAGTGCTCCAAAATCCCAATTTTTTTTAAATGCCACAACCTGTCAAATACAAGGAAGAATGCTTCATTTGTGGTAGAGAGAGAAAAAGAGGGAATTCTGGATGGCATGAGAGGGCTAAACAGGCAACAAAAATGAATCACTATTGCCGTCCCTGTATCCTCATAATATGTTTGTCACAAATCCCCTGATACACACACACATACACACACACACACACACACATATATACACACACATATATATAATTTCTTTATACATTTTTATTACTTATTAAGACTTTTTATTTTCTCAGTGTCACTGACTGAATATAAAACAAAAAATGATTTATTTAGAACAATCATAATTGTACATAGGCACTTAAATGTATTTGGTCATTTGTATTAATCATATATTCATTACTGTTATTTTATTACACAAAAGTACAAAGGTAAAATATGAGAGATTATACTAAAGAATGATTAAAGTCATACAATACAAGGAAAAAGAAAATCAAAATAATCACTTGTCAGTGTTTATCAGCTCACTCCATTAAGATGTCAGTCCGTCCCTAAAGATCAGAATGAAAGGAGAAGAAAACATGGTTAAAACTTCGATACAGTTCACAGTGTTGAGACATCAGCTCAGATACCAGATTGTATTTTGTACTCACAGGTGATTGGTCCAACGGTGACAAATTTGAACAGGTCATTAACAGAACGATATGTCCGTCTTGTGCAAAACTGTGAAATAAGAGGAGGGAGAATGATCAGAGACTTAAACCCAGTGTTTGGGTATAAAGCACTGACTGCAGATTGATTATTTCGACTGAGTGAGAGGATTGATGTCTGACTTACTGGAGCACAGCTCTGGCTCCTCTTGTCACACAGGCGTACTCTGCAGTGTAAGAAGATGTCTTGGTCTCTACCCTGGAGAGGGAAGAGCAGGGCAGAGAAACGAGCACGGAGGGACAGGCCGTTCTCGACCACCGACACACGACGAGAGTCAGTAGGACACCTGGCAGAGATATCAACAGTCATTAAGACCATTACACATCACCATAGATTTTATAGTTTCTGTTCCAGTCCATCTAAATCTGGAGAGACACATACCCAGAATGGATGAGATAGTATCGCACAGGGTCTTCAGGGTTTGAGGAGTTAGTGGTATAGCAGTCCTGCAGAACAACTGCAAAGCTTGGATCATTCTCAAACACATATGCTTGCACATGCAGTGCAGAGCCCACTGGCAGGATGACCTGGCCCCCTGGATAGCTGTTTGAAAAGTTGGAGTCACGGAAAAGATTCATGTAGGCTCTGGCTCTGGAACCTGACCCCATGAGGCCATACCCAGGACTGTTAAGAAAGAAAGACAATCAGAGATGTGTTTCACCCCTCCAGTGATGTACATCTATTAAACGTGTTGTTATAGTCAAGGAATGAAATAGAAGACTCACAGGTGTGGTCTGATTTGAGTGTTTAGGCTAGTTTTGGTGTCCAAGGGATAGGCACAGGTGAATGGAATAACCTCAGGTAGAACCATGGACCCATTACTTGGAGGGTAGAAATACAAGCTGTTGAAGTAGATGGCATGGGTGGTGTTGGTCTGAAAGAAGAAAGATAAATGGATGAACTGTCAGCTGCATAATCAATCAGTAATATTGCGTTAAACCAGCATGCAACTAGGAGGTTGGAGAAACATCTGGAGGATCTTGACTTAAAGCCTTCAGGACAGATTTTATGGTAAAAAAAAAAAATCTTACACTTTTACTGTCACAACATTTATCCGTGTTTGTGTTAGGAAAAGACAATTGGGTTACGTCATATTATAGCTGACACTTCTTGATGACTGATCAAAATCACCCTAATTTATCTGCTTATTTTATCTGTTATTTTATAGCCCATCCTAACCTCTGACCTCACTGTAGGGAAATAGAACAGTTTACTGTATACACATATAACTGTAATGAGTCAGGGGCAATAAATGTGTTTGTGCGTAACACTTACTGTGTGCTCACAGGAGAAGAAGAAGAAGAAGAAGCAGACAAACTGAGAGGAAAAATGCTATGAGATCTAAAATATCCTGCAAATTGACCATAGACTGTACAACAGGAGTGGATGTAACCATCGTAGTGTCACCCATTGGTTAGCCAACTACTGTTCTGAAGCTGCTACACCTCTATCCTGATTTACAGGTTGCCACGATAGCAACTTGGCAATCACAAGGTAGCCTTGCCATAAAGCATACCATGCTTTATCATCTTTCACTCTAAATGGGACCATAGTTAATCAGTATCAATCAATATCATAATACATTTCCAATTTCCAAAATGAACACCATGCTGTATTGAAGAAGACTTGAAACTCCTTGAAACTTAACGTTTGAGATGATACATTTATTAGGAAAATGTTAACTGTGTAATTAATAATAATAATTCTTTTTTGCACCCAGTGAAGTAGCCCCCTGTTGGCCTTTAGAAAGAAAACAGGTTTAGGGAACTTCTGCATTGGCTTCACTTTCAGACTCGATTGTCTGGCTCAAAGGATGTCGACTATCGGAACAAGCCTGTCACTGGCCGCCTATCTCAGATGGTAACACTCTTCCTGTGTCTTACCGTTTTAAGAATCCTTGTTGCTACATAAAACTAGTCACACATAACCAGATGTATTCATTTTAGCTTTGTTTGTGAAACAACTACAGCAACCTCCAAGCTAGCAATCTACACGCTAAAACATCTTTTAATGTTTTATGTGGTGTTTGCTTTTGTGGGTACTTAGCCATTTAATGCCAGTGCTCGCTAGAGGCTGACATTTTTCAGGAGTCCCACGGGTCACATGATTTCTGTAGGATTCCCACGGGATGGGAATCATTTCACTATTTGTCACGTGATTGTGACGGGATGGGAAAAAAAGTCAACGGGAGCAGGCGGGACTGGGAATCATAATTAGGCCTGTCGCGATATGTGATAAGTCGGTTAATTGCACGGTAAATTAAAAGGGATTAATTGCCATATTCATGCGTGTTTGTTTTCCTCGTCTCTCTCCACCAAAGAGACTGGACGACAAGCGCGTTCACTGCCGTGCATCGTTTGGCAGCCAGGTGAGTTGCTTCATTAGCGTAATGAACGGAGGGAAACCTCTTGGGGGAGGTGGGGCTATGGGCTACACACACAGACAGAGCAATCTTCATGAGGGGGAGACGAGGCAGAGAAGAAAACAGAGAGTTGGGCGTAAGAGAAAGACAGGGAACTTGTTCCTAAACCAAATGCCTTGGCCCCTGTGTGGGAGTGTTTTGGATTTAAACCAAATGACAGAGGGGAGCCCAGTAATTTGGATGACCATCTCAACAAAAAGAGCGAATACGACCAACTTAACTGCACACCTGAGAGTGAGAGACTGAGTCTATTTTTTTGTTTTTATTTATATATTTCGATATTTTTACGTGCTATTTCGGATATTTAAATTTTCTTTTTTGCATTCCTAAATATTCTTGTTAAATAAATGTTTATTTCTCTTTAAAAGGGTGTACTTGCATCATTATGCCTTTATTATCATTATTTAAGTTTAAAAAATGGTCTAAAAACAGCAAAATTACAACAATCATAAAAATGGTCTTAAAAGCACAACATTAAGCAACATTATTGCTTATCGCAATAATTTCTGATGCAATTAATCGCCCAGCAAAATTTGTTATGTGACAGGCCTAATCATAATAACAATAGTCAAGTTTTTATAAAGTAGTTGAAACTAGCTCCACCTCCAGCAGCTACAACAGTAACATGCTGCTCCAACACTGATGCTTCAGTATTAATAATCTAATGATGTCATATGATATCAGTCAGGGGAACCAAACACTACTTTTACTGCAATACTTAAACTACATTTTTCTCTCTCAGAACTGGTTCTTATGACATGTTGTCTGACCACATCAGAAATCAAATGTGTTTGTCATTCTTAACAGCATCAAGGTGGAGTGAATGTAAAAATAATTAGGCAATAAACATCAAAACACAACATTAGCTGTCATATTTGGGTTTATATTCAACTAAAGTAAGCATTGTGTGATCCATGTACTGTATTTTTTTTTTTTTTTTTACTGTAACTGAAACACAACACGGGAGCGGGATGGGACAGGAGCCATTCTTGTGGGATTGGGACGGGACGGGACAGGATTTTTTTTTTTCTTTTTCATGGGATTGGGACGGGATGGGACAGGACTGAAAATCCACTCCTGTGTCACCCTCTAGTGCTCGCCTCGCCACCAAGACAAGTTCCCTCCCCAACACTATTTTGCAAGGGCACCATTGCTGCATCCTGTGCTTAGCATCACCCAAGACCATTGGTTTAAAGAAATACAAACAACTAAGAGTGTTTTTTCCCATAGTGCGGAATGATGATGGGTCCAGCCAGACCTTTCTCCAGCAAGATGGTTCTGGCTGTGCAAGACGACAGACCAGAAGCTAGTTCCACCTTTTTTATACAGTCTATGGAATTGACCCAAAGACACATCTACACTAGTTGAAAATGTTTCAACTTGAGCAAAAAAAAAAAAAGTGCTTATTCTGGAGCTCTATGAATCTGCTTCATAACAGAGATTAGAGAGAAAAGGAAAGAGACAGTTAGAGGCTAAGGTGGACACAAACACAGGCACACCTGTTGTCAGCTAGCTTACAAATAACATCTCTACAGTTGTTACATTAGCTGTGTGGGGAAGTCATATTTTAGCAATTTGAAACAAATCCTCAAGTTATAAAAAGTAATCGATTGTTACCGTAAGTACAGTTCCGCAGATGCCAGCCTGACGTGCCACTTGGTACCAGACAGTGTTTTGACTCACTCTGTAGCCTGTACAGTAAGGGGCTGCCAGGTGACCAGAGAATGGGTTCAAACCAGCTGACAGCAGGCTGTCCAGCTGCACCCCAACTACAAGCTGATAAGGGGAGCAAATGAGCTGAGAGGCCTGGAGTAGAGGTTGATGGTCTAAAACACCAAAGAAGAGAAAAAGAGTAACCTTGAGAGATTCTGATAAACTTTGATCTCACTGTATTATGTTAAAACATTCTAAAAGTAAAATGAAATATGCATGTTTACCTTCACAGATGACACTAGCATCCTCAAAATGACCACAGTTGTGGTTCCCTAATCCGCCATGTGGACAGTCTCTTAATGAAGACTCGCTCCCTGAACACCGAAGGTCATCTAACCAAATTTGTCCAGTGCCTTGTCCAAAGTGTGCCCTTCTTGGTGCCCCCACAGCCCTGCCACAGCCCAGCTGTCGACAAACCACCTGAGCGTCATTCAAATTCCAGAAGTCGTCACACACCGTCCCCCACTGGCCATTGTGGAAGATCTCCACTCTGCCAGAGCAGTGGCTGTTAGAGTTGACCAGTCTCACTCCAACACTTGGTGTTGGAGTAGGTGTGGATGTCGTAGCAATTTCTGGTTGAAGGAGAAGCAAAATCTCTGTCAAACACATGACAACTGCAGGTTGTATTCACACCAGTACTGAGCTAAAAGCCCCAATTTCTTCACTGTAATTGTTCTTGATCATTTAGTTCTTGGCGCTCTTTCTTTACTTACTTGGTATCCAATCAGTGGCAAGATATAAGGTTCCATATCTAGTTATACGTGAACAGTATCAACTGAAGTCTGCTTACTATGTGAAAACACACTCACCTTCACAGATGACACTAGCATCATCATAATGACCACAGTTGTGGTTTCCTAATCCGCCATGTGGACAGTCTCTTAACGAAGATTCACTCCCTGAACACTGAAGGTCATCTAACCAAATTGGTCCAGTGCCTTGTCCAAAATGTGCATTTCGTGGAGCTGACTGAGCACTGCCACAGCCCAGCTGTCGACAAACCACCTGGGCGTCACTCAGTCCCCAGATATCATCACACACTGTCCCCCAGCGGCCATTGTGGAAGATCTCCACTCTGCCAGAGCAGCTGCTGTTAGAGTTGACCAGTCTCACCAGGGGGCCTGGTGGTGTTGGTGCAGGTGAGGTAGTGCTGGGAATTTCTGATTAAAGTCAGAGAAAAATCTTGTGAGCCCATGTGGCATCTGCAGACTCTAGAGTTACCCATAGTATTAGTGAAAATCCTAAATGTATATGTATAATTGCACCTACACTTTACTAATTTTTGTCACCTCTCATATCCTATTTATATTCTGTTCTCCCAAAATAAAGATATTATGCATTGTAAATTGGGCTTATTGTGCTGTAAAACAACGTGCATTGAATATGGCATCCTACATGAATTATTCTCTTCAGCTAAGGCATAAAATAATAATCTAATCTAAAAACCAAAATTTCTATAGTGGCTGAAAAAGCGTTTGAGTGGGACTTTGTATTGGTATTTTATAAATAAATGAATTTTGAAGATCATCTTTGTATCTGTGTAGGACTTTTGTCAAAGCTCCTATGGCGGAGATAGTAACCCATCGGTTCTCATCCAAACCATTCCATCTCAAAAGAGGTTGCAGACAAAGTTGTCCTTCATTGCCTCTCTAATTTGCTCTTTGAACCAAGTTTTGTTGCATGCAGATGATCTTTTAATGTACTTGTCTAACTTGGATATGACCATTCCTGATCTTTCAAAGGTACAGAATTATGAGGACACTGTTTTTGTTGATTCCCATAAAATCCAACTAAGTGATGGTTTAATGTCCAAATTGGTGTGGTCTTTTAACCGTATTCAAATTAGACTATCCCGACTTAATTGTGTTTTAATGACACAACTAAGCAACATATGACTACATGGTCCCTCTACGAAGGCAGTGGCCTACCATGGTCAGTGACTGTGATGATCATGTTATCTTCAGTTTTTTTAAATATCTGTTGGAGATAAGCTGCACAATAGTAATGTTGTAATGAAAACTTATGACACTGTACCAAAGACAAAATCATGTATAATGTAAAGCGGAAAATAGAAATGATGTGGAAAATGTGAGGTTCTGTAATATGCAATGATTTCAAAGTAGACGTATATTTGAGGTGAACGCAGAAAGAGATAAAGAGAAAAAAAGTATTACATAAAACTAAGTAAAACTGTAGTAGATGGAGCTGGTTACATGGGGACTGGTTAGGCAGGTTGTTGGTCGAGATCATGACATACCTATTGTAACTACGTCACTGTATTTGTTTAGTTTAATAAACACTAATAAAGGTTTTTCTTTTAATTCTCCAGTTATATGTGAGCAGTAAAGACTGAAATGTGTAGATAGAGTATATATTTACCTTCACAGATGACACCTGCATCCTCAAAATGACGACAGTTGTGGGATCCAAAGCCTAAATGTCCACAGTCTAGTATTGATGACTCATTCCCTAAGCAGTGGACATCGTCTAACAAGATTGGTCCAGTGCCCTGTCCAAAACGTGCACTTTGTGGTGCCTCCACAGCCCTGCCACAGCCCAGCTGTCGACAAACCACCTGGGCATCATTCAAATCCCAGCTGTCATCACACACCGTTCCCCACTGGCCATTGTGGAAGATCTCCACTCTGCCAGAGCAGCTGCTGGCAGAGTTGACCAGTCTCACTGGAACACTTGGTGTTGGAGTAACAATTTCTGGTTGAAGGAGAAGCAAAATCTCTGTCAACCACATGACAACTGCAGATTGTATTCACACCAGTATTGAGCAAAAGTCCAATTTCTTCAAGGTAACTGTACTTGATCATTTTATCATTGGGCTTGTTTATTACAGTAAGTTTAAAGTCAGCTTTATGGTATGCAGTTGGTGCCAGAATATAAGGTGCCATATCTAGTTATAAATGAACAATAAAAAAATGATGTCTGCTTACTGTGTGGAAACACACTTACCTTCACAGATGACACTAGCATCCTCAGAATGAGCACAGTTGTGGGTCCCCAGTCCACCATGTGGACAGTCTCTTAATGAAGACTCATTGCCTGAACACTGAAGGTTATCTAGCCAAATCTGTCCAGTGCCTTGTCCAAAACGTGCACTTTGTGGTGCCCCCACAGCCCTGCCACAGCCCAGCTGTCGACAAACCACCTGAGCGTCATTCAGATTCCACAAGTCGTCACACACCGTTCCCCACTGGCCATTGTGGAAGATCTCCACTCTGCCAGAGCAGTGGCTGTTAGAGTTGACCAGTCTCACTCCAACACTTGGTGTTGTTGGAATAAGTGGGGTCGTTGTGGTAATTTCTGGTTGAAGGAGAAGCAAAATCTCTGTCAACCACATGACAACTGTAGGTTGTATTCACACCAATATTGAGCAGAAGCCCAATTTCTTTAAGGTAACTTTACTTGATCGTTTAATCATTGGGATCTTTTATTTATTTAGAAATAAGTGGTCTTGACACAGTGAAAAGCAAATTGGATGTTTTCTTATTGTGCTGGAAGTGTCAAATCAGAAACCTGTGTTTTGGTTGTAAATGTAACTGATTGTTCTTAAAGAAAAGAGTCAATTCTGTATGGTATCCAGTTGGTGACAGGATATAAGGTTCCCTATCTAGATAGATGTGAAAAACACAAACTGAAGTCTGCTTACTGTGTGGGAACACACTTACCTTCACAGATGACACTAGCATCCTCAGAGTGAGCACAGTTGTGGTTTCCTAATCCGCCATGTGGACAGTCTTGTAAAGAGGACTCACTGCCTGAACACTGAAGGTCATCTAGCCAAATTTGTCCAGTGCCTTGTCCAAAACGTGCACTTTGTGGTGCCTCCACAGCCCTGCCACAGCCCAGCTGTCGACAAACCACCTGAGCGTCATTCAGATTCCAGAAGTCGTCACACACCGTCCCCCACTGGCCATTGTGGAAGATCTCCACTCTGCCAGAGCAGTGGCTGTTAGAGTTGACCAGTCTCACTCCAACACTTGGTGTTGGAGTAGCAATTTCTGGTGGAAGGAGAAGCAAAATCTCTGTCAACCACATGACAACTGTAGGTTGTATTCACACCAATATTGAGCAGAAGCCCAATTTCTTTAAGGTAACTTTACTTGATCGTTTAATCATTGGGATCTTTTATTTATTTAGAAATAAGTGGTCTTGACACAGTGAAAAGCAAATTGGATGTTTTCTTATTGTGCTGGAAGTGTCAAATCAGAAACCTGTGTTTTGGTTGTAAATGTAACTGATTGTTCTAAAAGAAAAGAATCAATTCTGTATGGTATCCAGTTGGTGACAGGATATAAGGTTCCCTATCTAGATAGATGTGAAAAACACAAACTGAAGTCTGCTTACTGTGTGGGAACACACTTACCTTCACAGATGACACTAGCATCCTCAGAGTGAGCACAGTTGTGGTTTCCTAATCCGCCATGTGGACAGTCTTGTAAAGAGGACTCATTGCCTGAACACTGAAGGTCATCTAGCCAAATTTGTCCAGTGCCTTGTCCAAAACGTGCACTTTGTGGTGCCTCCACAGCCCTGCCACAGCCCAGCTGTCGACAAACCACCTGAGCGTCATTCAGATTCCAGAAGTCGTCACACACCGTCCCCCACTGGCCATTGTGGAAGATCTCCACTCTGCCAGAGCAGTGGCTGTTAGAGTTGACCAGTCTCACTCCAACACTTGGTGTTGGAGTAGCAATTTCTGGTGGAAGGAGAAGCAAAATCTCTGTCAACCACATGACAACTGTAGGTTGTATTCACACCAATATTGAGCAGAAGCCCAATTTCTTTAAGGTAACTTTACTTGATCGTTTAATCATTGGGATCTTTTATTTATTTAGAAATAAGTGGTCTTGACACAGTGAAAAGCAAATTGGATGTTTTCTTATTGTGCTGGAAGTGTCAAATCAGAAACCTGTGTTTTGGTTGTAAATGTAACTGATTGTTCTAAAAGAAAAGAATCAATTCTGTATGGTATCCAGTTGGTGACAGGATATAAGGTTCCCTATCTAGACAGATGTGAAAAACACAAACTGAAGTCTGCTTACTGTGTGGGAACACACTTACCTTCACAGATGACACTAGCATCCTCAGAATGAGCACAGTTGTGGTTTCCTAATCCGCCATGTGGACAGTCTTGTAAAGAGGACTCATTGCCTGAACACTGAAGGTCATCTAGCCAAATTTGTCCAGTGCCTTGTCCAAAACGTGCACTTTGTGGTGCCTCCACAGCCCTGCCACAGCCCAGCTGTCGACAAACCACCTGAGCGTCATTCAGATTCCAGAAGTCGTCACACACCGTCCCCCACTGGCCATTGTGGAAGATCTCCACTCTGCCAGAGCAGTGGCTGTTAGAGTTGACCAGTCTCACTCCAACACTTGGTGTTGGAGTAGCAATTTCTGGTGGAAGGAGAAGCAAAATCTCTGTCAACCACATGACAACTGTAGGTTGTATTCACACCAATATTGAGCAGAAGCCCAATTTCTTTAAGGTAACTTTACTTGATCGTTTAATCATTGGGATCTTTTATTTATTTAGAAATAAGTGGTCTTGACACAGTGAAAAGCAAATTGGATGTTTTCTTATTGTGCTGGAAGTGTCAAATCAGAAACCTGTGTTTTGGTTGTAAATGTAACTGATTGTTCTAAAAGAAAAGAATCAATTCTGTATGGTATCCAGTTGGTGACAGGATATAAGGTTCCCTATCTAGACAGATGTGAAAAACACAAACTGAAGTCTGCTTACTGTGTGGGAACACACTTACCTTCACAGATGACACTAGCATCCTCAGAATGAGCACAGTTGTGGTTTCCTAATCCGCCATGTGGACAGTCTTGTAAAGAGGACTCATTGCCTGAACACTGAAGGTCATCTAGCCAAATTTGTCCAGTGCCTTGTCCAAAACGTGCACTTTGTGGTGCCTCCACAGCCCTGCCACAGCCCAGCTGTCGACAAACCACCTGAGCGTCATTCAGATTCCAGAAGTCGTCACACACCGTCCCCCACTGGCCATTGTGGAAGATCTCCACTCTGCCAGAGCAGTGGCTGTTAGAGTTGACCAGTCTCACTCCAACACTTGGTGTTGGAGTAGCAATTTCTGGTGGAAGGAGAAGCAAAATCTCTGTCAACCACATGACAACTGTAGGTTGTATTCACACCAATATTGAGCAGAAGCCCAATTTCTTTAAGGTAACTTTACTTGATCGTTTAATCATTGGGATCTTTTATTTATTTAGAAATAAGTGGTCTTGACACAGTGAAAAGCAAATTGGATGTTTTCTTATTGTGCTGGAAGTGTCAAATCAGAAACCTGTGTTTTGGTTGTAAATGTAACTGATTGTTCTAAAAGAAAAGAATCAATTCTGTATGGTATCCAGTTGGTGACAGGATATAAGGTTCCCTATCTAGACAGATGTGAAAAACACAAACTGAAGTCTGCTTACTGTGTGGGAACACACTTACCTTCACAGATGACACTAGCATCCTCAGAATGAGCACAGTTGTGGTTTCCTAATCCGCCATGTGGACAGTCTTGTAAAGAGGACTCATTGCCTGAACACTGAAGGTCATCTAGCCAAATTTGTCCAGTGCCTTGTCCAAAACGTGCACTTTGTGGTGCCTCCACAGCCCTGCCACAGCCCAGCTGTCGACAAACCACCTGAGCGTCATTCAGATTCCAGAAGTCGTCACACACCGTCCCCCACTGGCCATTGTGGAAGATCTCCACTCTGCCAGAGCAGTGGCTGTTAGAGTTGACCAGTCTCACTGAGGGTCCAGGTGTTGTTTGAGAAACTGCGACAATAAAGACATAATATATTGTTGAGATAAATCAGATGATGTCCTTTATAAATGATCAGTGTCCCTTCTGGCAGTGAATGAACACTTCAGTATAAAAATATAAGACAAAGTAGAACACAAACCCACACAGAATTCCCTACTCTCTAAAGCTTTTTACTTGTTTTGTTATTTAGGTTTATTTCAGGTGAGTCCCACTGCTTTTGAACCTTTGTAGCAATGCACGTTTGTGTTCAGGATAATGAGCTGTCATCCAAATGGGCTTTCTATCCAAAGGGACATTTTATGGACTATTGAGCCTTTTAAATTATTGATCATCAGAACAATGGTATGACACTGTATTCTATCTATTACTGTTGAGATCAAAATGATCTGAGGCTCCATCCTTGAGATTAATCTGCAAATACTTTTCTACTAAATAACAAATAAAGCAATTTCTAATCAACCCATACCAGTTTCAGGTTACAATTAACATCTTCTGGTTAGGTCCACATCATTTCCAATTTAACCTCCATGCAGTTCTGCTTTATGGATCTGGAAGTGGGTTAGTACGGTACAGATTACTTAAATCAAAGTCTCAGCTTCCTTGACAGAAGACAAAAAGACTGGTTGATATTAATTTCATCAGTGTGTCAGAAAATTATTTTCCATTAATAATCTGATGTTCAGCACTGAAAAAGATGAAGGTGTAGAGACAATCAAGTATAGGAATACATTTAAAGACATTTTGTTAAAGGGTTTAAACGAGAGTTTTCTTCACTTCTATTTGTCCCATGCATGTGGAATTATTAAGTACCAATAAGTGATTTATTTGGCCACTTGGGGGCAGCAGAACATGCAGTCCAATCACTGCAAACTATTTTCTATCTACTGTTTGGTACTGAGCAGGCGGTGTCGCACACTTAAACCAAAAGCTATCACTGAATTGCAGGATTTCAATTAATATTATTATATTAATATTTTTATTGGGGTTTTCATTTCTAAAAGATATTAGGTATAAATAAAATAGTCAGTCTTGGCAGCAAATAAGGTGAACCATCATATGAAAAGGCAACTAGAAGAAAAAAAACCTGACAAAAACAAATAAGCAAAACAACAACATGAAAACAGAGATGAATAAACAGATGCTGCAGTTGTGAACAGTAATCATGACGTACACATGGACCATTGTACTTTATAATCTTAATTGAGTTGCCCTGCCCCCACTCAAGTCTTTGTTTTTTATTAACCCTTTTAATGAACCATGATTGTTATGTTATCAAAAAAAAGAAGGAAAAAACAGCAAGCAAGTGTGTTTTCAGCTACAGTAAAAAGAATGGATCCTTAACTGTTTTAGCTTGTATGATATGCAATGTGATGTTAGTAAAATGGGGTTGAGTTGTAGAGTGGGATGGTAATTTTCTGTGGTATTGACCCAACCTGCGTATCCCTTTACATTACAAGAAATCATTTGATCTGTTGTTAATGTAAAACTATTGATTGATGCAGCTTTAAGCACAGAAAAATTGAGCTTAATGAGTAACCTGATAATAAGTCAAACATTTTACCTGACCATCCAGTTAACGTCTGCATCAGCAGGAGCAACAGCGTACCCCGAGCCATCGTCATTACGGGACACACACCTGCTGAAAAGGACAAAAGAGATATTATGACAGCCTGCATCAGAACAGACACCAAAATACTGGCTTGCTCAATGATGGATGTAAATGTAAATTCTAATTTTCAAAATGACCAAATCATGCTACCATTCATGAATATGAAGGACAGAAAGTAGATTAGATTAAAAGACGGTGTATTGCCAGTGCCCTTACTTGCCTTACAGTGGCTTTTTGTGAGCAGTGAGTAAAGGAGCTGGGAATGGGACCATGTTAAAATCAGTGCTGGAGACATGGCTATTATATTATTAGGACCTTGTAACACTTAAAATATAAATTGGATTTTAAAGATAAACAACACAAGGGCTCAAATTGGCTAGGGAAGAGAAATTAAACATTGTTTGTGTTCACTGGCATTAACCAATCATAACTCATGAAAACTATAAAATGTACTGTGCAATATATATATTTACTGTTCACCATCACCATTTCCCCCAGTCATGTTGTCATCATCATTCACTTACCTTTTCCAGGTGTGACACTGGCAGTAGTCCTCAGAGGATGAGTGGTAGTGCTCAGTCAGTGCTGGAGAGAAGAGTCCCAGCAGGCCTGTGCTGCCTCCCTTGATGCACTGTTCATTTTATAGGAGTCTGAGTCAGATCAGATGGCACAGTGATGCTTGGTATGTTCTGAACTGGATGCCAAGATCATGCTTTGTTTAAGAAAGAATGTTGCATATCTAGATGGGTAACTCTGACAAGTTAGGCAAGCTTAAGTTGTTTGTGTTTTGTAGTTGTTTGTGATTATGTCTGTAAATGAGCAAATTATTTCTGTAGGGTAGTACTTAGCCTATTTGGTACTGCCTTTATGTTATTGAAAATAAGAGTTGGAGCTTTTGAATTTTACAGTCTTTTATAATATTTTCCCCTGGGTTGTGGTAAATGACAAATCCTCCCCAGGACAGCTTGCTTTTTTTCTGCCATGAGTACACCTAGATGGAGTACACTGCCTACACTGTGTCTATACTAACGTATTGCACAGGGCAGTGTCATCTCAAATCAAACAAGGCTACTGCGCACTTTAATGACGATCTCAAGATCTGGCAGCTTTTCTTCCTCTGCTTGGTGAATTGCAACTGGCACAGCATAATCACCAACATCAGACCAATGGCTTTCACTCACCAAATGAGTGCTGTATCTGCTTGTTCTCTCACATGACTTCTTTGTATTTGTTTCTTTATTTATCTATTGTATTAAAAGTAAACGTGCTTGCACATGGATTCCCGTGCCTGATACTGGCTGGCGCTATCACCAGCTGATCTACTGGGTTAATGAGAGCTGCCGCATTTTGCAAATACTTATATAAACGATCAAGCATCTGACCACAAATCTAATACTACAATCCTCTACAGTTAAGACAACATTTTACAGTAACTTGCATAAACACCCAAACATAACTTCCACCCAGAGATCGTATAGCTTACATCACAAAACTATACATTTTAATAATAAGATACAGGATGCCAAGAGGGCCCCTTTTCATTCCAACTAAGTTGCTTACCTAAAGCATACGCCAAAAAGTTTTCTAGCTTCTGGGTTAACTTCCACAGTATGCAGCCCACTGAATTTGTGCAGTAAGGTTTTGCTGCCCCCGCAAGTTCACATTTAGCTTGTAGACATTACATTGTGATGACGTCACAGTTTTTTAAAAATGTTTTGTCTTGGCTTGGGGAAAGTTTTACATATATTAAACCACCGTGGCTCAAAAATACAGAAATCTCTTTTACAGTGGTGGCCTACGGGGAAAGTGTCCTCTGGGCCACAGGGGATTTTTTTCACTGCAGTGGGCAACTGGAGAAATTTGCTGCAAGGGTGAGCATTTTTTCTGGGGGACTGCACAAAACATGTAATGTCAAAGCCTGATGATAAAATGTGCCACTGTTAGCTAGCTAGCAAGCTAATGTTAGCATTTGCCTTATCGATTGCGATACCTAATTGTTACAGAAACAACCCAATAAGCAAACCAATGATATCTATCTGACAACAGTGGTAATGAAAACATATATAAATAACTGTACCAGGTTTCATAGTTCAAAGCTGTAATCAGCTGACATTTCACAACTTCGAAATGTATTTCCAGTATCCAATTTGAGGCACAGCATTAGTTTCTACAACAGTCTTTCGTATAGATCTGCTCTTACATTAAGCAGCGTGCTCTAAATTATGTCAGAGACAGAGTGCATTTTACTTAGATCAGGAGTCTATCAGGCAGGGGAGCACATCCACATAGACTACTGGGGTCAACCCTGGTGGGCTATGTTTTCAAAAACTGTGTTTCTCAAATCCTGCAAAGAGTAGCTGTCAGTACTGGGGAAAGTGTGACACTGGAAAGGGCAAAGCCGAGGGCAGGGGTATCCAAATTTTTTTGAATGGGGCCAGATTAGATAATGTCAAAATACCTCGGGGCCAGTTGCTTCTGTAATCATATGGGTTATTAAAAATAATCCCATACAAATGAGACAAACACAAACGTTTCATCTTTCAGTGAAAAGGTATTCATCTTTCCACTGCTCATGCTGTTGACTTTATGCTTCTTCCATGTGGCCACGTTTGCTCCCTAGCAGGAAATGTCTCCTTGGTTACTGTTCGTATGCTTGTTTACCATCTGTTTATGGAAACACATTAGTTCCACCCAGAGCCGGCCCTCCCTATAAGCGAATTAAGCTGCTGCTTAGGGCCCTGCAGCCACTAGGGGGCCCCCAGATGGATGCACGGTAAACTGAATTGACTGACTGTCACACCTCTGCGCAGACCTGGCAACCCCGTTATTTACAATGAACTGCAGTCTGCTTCTTCATGGGGCAGCATGTGAGGATCTTTGTGTTTGTTTGATCCAAAAAACTAGCAACAGTGACAATAGAGCTCCGATAGCTGACATCACGCAATCACTGCATGCAACAGTCGAAATCAAAACAACGCCATATTGGCAGGAAAGCGTGCTGTTCAACTGACTGCCAAGCATAGGACAGCAAACAGCTAACTCGTCTCTTCTCCGCGCTGTATTCATATAAAAGTGAACATGGTGGACAGCTGTTGTGCCCTGGGGTGTCAGAAGAGTCAACACGTGAAGGGGACAGCATTTTCGAATCCTGAAAGATCCCAAAAGACGGTGGAGGTGGAATTACTGCCATAAAACAGGCACAGGCAACGGATTCTGCTTGTGTAGTGATCACTTAATATCAGGTACAGAATCCGATGCTCAGTAACTTTAATGTTTATTATACATGCTTTTATTGCTTTTTCTAACTGTTTAATTTTCATAAAAGGCAAGTTTGAACTTTGAATTATGGCTTGGATTTTGTGGAGCTAGTAAAGGGATGTTGCACACTCAATGAGCAACGCGAAACAAACGTGGGATAAGAAAATTACTTTCATTATTTTATTACAGTTATATGTAAGGCTGTTGATATGTCGGGTGTCATTGTTTTGCCATGGGATCGGGAAACATATCACTAGATTCTGTCATTGTTAGCAGGAGGGAAAATTGATCAAGTAATTGTAGATGTCGGGATACTGCAATATTGGAACATTGTCCGCTCTGGCTGTCTCAGTTCTCCTGAAAAGCACCCTGGGGGCATTGTAAGGGTCAGATATGTTTAACCGGTCAAGTTTTGCGATATACCGCTCAATTTCTGTGGCTTTAATGTGCGAAGTGAACTCTGACAACCTGAAATCAGCACTGGCGCAATTCATTTTCGTTAAAGACTTTCCTGCCAACATGGAGCTCTATTGAGTTAACATTAAAGGTCAACATACATAACGTGACCTATGCCAGGGCGGGGACCCTACGGACCAGGGGTCAGGTGCCATTCACTGAACGGAGCATGCGCAATACCGTCTACGAAGATGAAGCGGGCTTATCCCTCAGGTGCGGAGAAGAGGAAGAAAAAAAAGTTGAAGAGGCAAACAAGCTCAAGGTAGAGTCCAGTAAAGCAACGCTTGTCACTTAGCAGAATAGGTGATTAGGTTAGTATGTGCAATATGTGTTTTTGTAGTGTCTGTTTGAAAGTTACAGACCAGTTTGTTGTTTTGTTGTTTGACTAATGCACTCACACAGTGTAGAGTTTCAAATGATTATGGTGAAACCTATCATTTAGTGAGGCTGTTAACATCCCTCAATTTCAATATAATTCATGGAAAAAAATAAAAGCAGTGTTGGTGGGGATGCACAACATATCTGTGGTTCATATTTCTTGATAGTGTCTAATAATAAAGGGTCAAAAACTACCTGCTCCGTACTGTGAAGGTCAGAATATAAACAATATGATAGGGTTAAAAAATCATACTAAACTAAAGCTGGATTGGTAAATAATAATAATTTCGTTTAGCATTATTCTCTGTTTACAGTAATTGTTATTGAAATAAATAAATTAAGTAATTAATATTTTTCAGAGGGAGAATACTAAAATATTTTGGTGGTGGTGGAACTAGAGAGGATGAAAGCATTGGTAAGTGAAAATGTTTTAAAATTACAGTTCACTGTGTTGTCTTCTTGTTCATGGATGTTACCTGGTATAATTGCTGTTTTATCTACTCTACATTTTATGCATGTTCTATTTGTATTCTCACACAGCAGCTGGAGATGACAATACTCCAACTCCTGTTTCATCCACAGAGGAAACCTCAACACATGTTCCTGGTACATAAACTATATTTCCAATTTCCAAGGAAATTAATAATATCTTTGTTTACAACAATTTGAACTCATTTCTGATTTTTAGATATAATGATTAAGATACTGGTATAAAGTAATAGACTCCAAAATCACAAAAAAAAGTTAATCTTAAATGTTTTTTTCCTTATTATTTATTGCAGTTTTTACCTTGTTCATTTTGTTTGGATTTGAATGCATATATTAGTCCTATTCATTTGTTACTGGTGAGAATAGTTTAGAGTTTGAAGTTTTGTTTTAAGGATTCTTTTCAGCATTACGTTGTTTTCCACCTTACATGCCTTGTTACAAATTATAATTTAGAGAATAAATATAAAATCTCACTATAATCTTTGTTGCATTTCTTTTTCTTCTGTTAGATGGGTATTAGATATTTTATATAATACTTTAGGACTGGAGTCGTCTAGTGATCAATTAGAGTTAATGCCATTTTAACATTTTCAACACTAAGTAGCATTCAGACAGATAGTAAAGGTAAAAAAGGCAAGTGCAGTTAGTTAGCTGTAAGTGTTTCAGTGAGTGTGCACAGTTAGCAGTAAACTATGACCCATCATGTTGTTAGAGGTAAAAACTGAATGCATACTGTAAGGTTTATAATTGCATGTGGTATCTGGTTTTGTGTATCCTTAACTGTCTTTTTATGGCAAAGTAGGGCCCCCAAAACTTATCCTGCTTAGGGCCCCCAGATGTCCAGGGCTGGCCCTGGACATCTGTGTAGTTCCTACTTGGTGCATGTCTACTAACTGTTTGATGGTCCTGCCATCGACAGGTGAATGGAAAAAATGCAAAGTGATCTCACTTAAATAATCAATATTGTGTG